CAATAAGAGGCTGTGATTTTCAAATACAACAAGATAGTTCCCAGGGACTCTCAACTATAAGTTTGTTGATCACACCGCTAACTGAAAGTTTATATTCAAAGCAAATGTTATTGCAGGTACCCAAGATTCTAAATCATGTAGAAGCTGGTAGATCTGTGATGGCGAACCTATGGCACGCATGCCACAGGTGGCATGCAGCGCCCTCTCTGTGGGCACGTGAGCTGTCGCCCCAGTTCAGCTCCACCACACATGCGCGCCCGCCTCCTGCTGGCCAGCTAGTTTCTTCCCCAAAGAGTCATATAAGGACAGTAGCATTTAAAAGACACACAGATAGAGAAACTAATTTAAATATGTTTAAATTAAAACCACAGGGAGAGAAGGAGAGATTTAATATGCGACTGGTCCAGTTTTATGTGAGATTCTTGGTATTCTCTGAGCATGATTTTTTTTTGCAGATATTTCATCAAATAAATTATTATTTAATCATTAATGCTTCAAGGGAGTGGGTTTTCTCTCATTTTATATACTAGTGGCTTGTCCTGTCAGTGTTGATGGGAGTGGTCTTGGTGGTTCTTTGATTAGGTTGAGGTTTATTGTTAGTTTATTTATCTGAATTGGTAGTTCCTTGATTGGGGTATTGTTTATTTCTGGATTGCTGGTCTAGTGTTAAGCTTGGTATTAATCTTTGCTCATCTGGGTGTTGATTGCTGGTGAGAAAGTGTTTTTCCCTTGCCTTGGTCTAGGTTGCTCATAACTTCCCAGTTGAAACTATGATTACGTCTGCTCGCATGTTGTGAATTTAAGGAATTTTCATCATGTCTCCTGACTGTTAGTTGATGTTCATAGATGCACTCTGCTACTCTTGTGCCTTTTTGTCTTACATAGCAGCTATAACAGTCCTTATACCAGGGGTGTCAGAAATGCAGCCCGCAGGCCAAATCTGGCCCGCGATAGGCCACAGAGTTGGCCCGCAGGCTGTCCAAGAGACAGCAAGGGACCAACCCCTGCCACACTGGTCCCTGCCACACTGCCCCAGCCATGCCCACCCAGTCGGCCACGATGACCAGGCCACACCCACCAACTCCCCAAGAGCAAACAAAATCCCAACGTGGCCCACAACGGGATTGAGTTTGACACCCCTGCCTTATACTATATGTTGTAGATGACTTCTGTTTTTCTTTTGGAGCTGCTGGGTCTTTTGGTTTACTTAGAATGTTTTGGAGGGCTTTTAATTGGTTCTAGAACTCACTTCCAGCACTGCTGTTATCTAGTTTGATAATGAAAAGTCTGCAAGAAAACAGCCAAGCTCAGACACCACCAAGAAAACCACCGTTCAATGTTGAGCGATAAATATTCTCTTCTATCAGTCAAGTTTTTTATTTCATGAAATAATTGTATGGCTGACTATTCTGAAAATTGTCTAAAGAATAAAACTACAGTGTTTCCCCGAAAATAAGACCCTGTCTTATATTTTTTGAACCCTGAAATAAGTGCTTGGCCTTATTGCCATGCGGTCAAAAGCCCAATTGGGCTTATTATCAGGGGATGTCTTATTTTGGGGATAACACAGTAACTTGCCAGGTCTCAGATTGGTCAACCTATAGAACAGTGGTGGTATTCAGCCGGTTCATACCGGTTCAAGTGAACTGATAGTGGAGATCGCGAGTGCCCCCCCCCCCCACTGGCGTAAAGACGTCCTATTTAGCCACATTTTTGAGGCCGGGCACATGCACGGAAGGCGAGCAAAATGCATGCATGGAAGGCTGGGCGCATGCACAGAAGGTGCATGTGTGAAGCAAGCGTGCGCACATATGGTGAACCAGTGGTAAAAATATGTGAAACCCACCACTGCTATAGAATTATGGCACTTTTCAAAAATCCATTGGGAATGAATCAGTGGTGAAATCTTAAACATTTTGCTACCGGTTCTGTGGATGTGGTTTGGTGGGCGTGACTTGGTCATGTGACTGGGTGGGCATGGCCAACTTGCCATCACTCATGTCACTCATTGTTAGAGCCAGGAGCTGCACATTCTGAAGCACATTCTGCCCTTCTGAAGCCCCCATGCTTTAAGTTTCCCTCCGCCATCTGGCATAGGAAAGAGAGAGCGCGGAGAAAAGTCCAGGAAGTTTGAGAAGGAGCAATAGGTGGGATGTGGGAAAGTGGGCAGAAGGGCTCATTTTTTAAGTGTGCTCAAGGCTGCCTAAAGAAAGCTTGGGAATTCCGCTCAGCCCCAGGACCTTTCCTCCTCGGCAGTCAGTGTTGTGGCCCGCCAGCGGCCTACACGGATTGTAGCTGATCCTGACGATGAGGAGACTGGTGTGGTGTCGCGCCAGTAGCCTGTGCAGCCAGCGCTCGAGTCAGACAGCGAGGAGGCTGAAGAGGATGTGGTGCCAGAGGCAGAGACTCAGCCAGGGCCTTCAGAACCTCCAGAGGCTCCTTCAAGTGAAGAAAGTGAAGTGGAGGAGCCTCTTCTCAATGCTCAAGCACGCAGGGCTGCCAAAAGGCAGGAGTGGCTACTCAGGAGGAGGTCTCATTGAGAGTAAGGCTTGGGGCTAATTGGCCACTCCCTTAGCCAATTTAAGTTCGCTCACAGATAGCACACGCTGCTGGAAACAATGTTTAATTACTATGCAAAGCATTTTGAGAGTGAGTTTCTTGTTATATCTTGGTTTCTGGGCTGGTTGCCAACCCTTGTTGGACTTTGTTTATTCCCTGTAATTCATAGCAGGCTGATAAGGACATTTGCACTGGAAGCCTGCATTTTGGAAGGGGTCTGTTTGTATTATACGGCGTTTTTGGAGCTTTGTGTGTGTCACACTCCTTGGAATCCAGAGCTGGGGCAGAACAGCCAGTCCCATTCTAAACTTCCTGTAGAACTCCTGAGGCCAAAGGGCTTTAAATGGGGACTGGGAACCCAAAAGCTGCCTTTCTCAGAATTTGCACAGAACTCCCTGTCACCTGTCACATTTACTTAGGGGGAGGGTTCGAATCCCTGAGCGACGGGAAAATGAGTGCCTTTTAGCTCATTGCCAATACCTCAGGGTTGGGTGTGCTCTAGCGTCTCACCTGAACCCCCCCCAAGCCTCTATTGGCGCTGCACACGGAGCTGAAGACTTCATAGGTGGGCCACGGAAGGAATGATATAGTTGGCCAGCCCTGCGGTCTCTCCGTCCCACGCTCAGTTCGTTTCCCTTCCACGCAACCATCAATAGTTTGCCATTTAACATGATTTGTAGACCTCAAATCTCAGTGTTTGCAGCTGAGGGAAATGCCAGGCCCTTCCTGGAACAACCCACTGCCCTCCCCTCCTGATGTTCGCCTGCCCTTCTGGAGTACCACTGCCCCTGTTCGCTTTCGTTTCATGGTGGAAGAAAGAAGAAAGTGAACAGTGGTGCCTCAGTGGTGCTCCAGGATGGCAGGCAGATGTCCCAGGCTGCTGCACATGTCCCAGGGCAGCGCAGCGGTGGCGTCTCTACCAAGGGCCAGCCGCCCACCCACTGGGCAGGCCGGGCTGGATGCTGACCTCTGAAAGCAAGCGGGCATGCGGGACTGCCGGGAAAGCAGCACGGAATGCAGGAAAGCATGGCAGGGCTGGGGGGAAGGGAGTAGACTGCTAGCTCCTTTCCCCGCAGCCCTGTCATGTTTGCTTGCCTTCCACATAGCCTTCCGCTTGCCTGCCTTTGCAAGCTGGCCATGGGGACACCAGGAAGGCAGCGCAGAAGGCAGGGAAGCATTGCAGGACTGCGGGCCGCCGACCGGTTCAGGGGCATGGCCAGCCACCGGTCGCTACCAGTTCAGCGAACCAGCCTCAATATCTGCTACCAGTTCACCTGAACTGGTCCGAACCGGTAGCATTTCATCCCTGGAATGAATATCTATTTGTGAGTTCTGGTCTTTGGAATGCATACTTAGAAAAAAAAGAAATAGCTTACTCATTTATTGGAATACAGAATTTATCTTTCCCAAAAATTATACTATGGGCAAATGCAGAAACATGGGAGTGGGGTGGGAAATGAGGATTCATAATAACAATGTTCTATAATGGGGTTTTTTTTTTCTGAATGCAAAAATCTCCACCCAGTACATGCTCCACTCCTGACACAAGTCTATTTCAGAGAATTAACAATGTTAATTGGTGATCAGGTAATGTAATGCAGTGCTATTCAGCCAGTGTCCCTTGCCTACCCTGCAGATTATTGTGACAATAGGAGAAATGAAGTCTGGGCTATTATTAAGGTATAGGCACTGAGTTTTCCCTGTGCTATATTTAGTTTCTGTTAAAAGAAGAGATGAGCTTCTGATTCTGAGCATCTGTGAAAACGTCTTGGTGAATCATATTCTTTGATGTTTACCTGATCTCCATATTTTAACTCTTTATATATGAGAACAATAAAACAAAAAGATGTTTTTTTTTAAGTCACCTCTTGGTGAGATAGGTGGGAAACAAATTTAATAATGAAAAAAAACAGTGAATGCAATGCTTGTAAGTTTGACATTTTTGCATGTTGCTGGACATACTTTTTGAGAATAAGAAAATTGGGGGCTCTTCATCGACTATATATTGGATAGTGGAACTATTACTGAAAGCATGGTGATTTAGGGCACTTCCTCCCAATTTCAGAAGGAAAGGGGACCTGAAGATAGAACTAAAGGACACTCAAGCATAGGAAAAAGTGCTATATGGTAATATACAGGAAAAGGGGGCTGCTCTTATTGTATGTCAGACAGACCAAACTGGCCAAATATTGCCAGTTCTTCCACAGGAATCCATGAATAGATTGTTTATGGGGGAGAGTGAGAAAGCGAGAATCAATTTTGAGATAATACGATATAGATGATACTATGCCAACTTTAAAACTGCCTGTTCTATTGAGTACAACTGGACGTATTCCAGTCTCATGGCATCGGGTAATTTGAAGTGCGCTGTTATGGGCATTAGTGTCATAACATTAATGCTATTCCTCCCACTCCTAAAAGAAGAACTGCAAACTCTCTGCTTGGCTTACAAAATTATTTTAATTGTATTTCGGTTCAAAACAAGCCAAATAAAAACGGAATGAAACATTCAAATACAATTTGAATACAAATTCTGAAAGATTGTGTACATTTTTAGATATTTTGTAATATTTGACATAGTATCACTGATGAACATACATGTTTTCATAGTGTGGGATTTAGGACCATAAAAAAATAACAGAATAATTGTTATTCTGAGTTGGAGGGGACCTTGGAAGTCTTCTAGTCCAACCCATTCAAGCAGGAAAACCTACACCACTTCAGACAAATTATTGTCCCATGCCTTCTTTAAAAACTCACAAGTTGGAGCACTCACAAGTTATGGAGTCATTCCAGTGGTAAAATCTAAATTTCTTTCCTATCAGTTCTGTGAGCATGGCTTGGTGGGCATGGCTTGGTGGGGTCATGTGACTGGGTGGGCGTGGCTATGTAATTATGTGACTGGGGGATCAAAAGACAGAAACTCACTAACAATGTCCTGCTGGAGCAGGGTTCGACTAGATGACCTCCAGGTCCCTTCCAGCCCTGGATTATCCTCTGAAGCTGCGTCTAGTACCAGATTTGTAGCCTTTCCTTCCTCTCCTTTTTCCCTCCCTCCCTCTTTCTTTCTTTCTTTCTTTCTTTCTTTCTTTCTTTCTTTCTTTCTTTCTTTCTTTCTTTCTTTCCTACACCCCCCATTTTTTGCCTAGCAGCCTTCAGGGAAGCCTGCTGGGAGCAAAAAAAGCCCCTCCCTCTCATTTTTTGCCTAACAGGCTTCAGGGAAGCCTGCTGGGAGCAAAAAAGTCCCTCACCACCACCACCCCCTTTTTTTGCCTAGCAGGCTTCAGGCTTGCTGAGAGCAAAAACACACTGTCCACCCCTCACCCCATTTCTTGCCTAGCAGGCTTCAGGGAAGCCTGCTGGCAGCAAAAATGAACTCTTCCCACTGCCACCCCCACCCCCGTAAAAAAACGTGCTCCGACGATCGCACACCACAGCTGTGATCATCGGAGCCTTTTTTTTACTTTTTAAAAGCATTTTTTACTACCTATTCACCCAAGCCGGTAGTAAAAAAAATGCCTTAAAAAAAAAAGTTCTGACAATCGCGGGTCACTCAGCTGATCGTCCGAACATCTTTTAACATTTTTTACTACCAGTTTGGTGAATCAGTAGCATTTTTTACTACCGGTTCGGGCGAACCGGACTGAACTGGTAGCATTTCACCCCTGAGTCATCCCACTGATTTAATTGTTATAACTGCCAGGAAATTTGTAGTTCTAGGTTGGTTCTTTCCATCCATTGCTTCTTGTCCTGCTTTCAGGTGCTTTGGAGAATAGGTTGACTCCTTCTTTTACTTGTGGCAACCCTTTAAATATTCAAACACTGCTATCATGTTATCCCTAGTCCCTCTTTTCACTAAACCAGACATACCCAATTTCGGAAACCACTCTATTCACTAAATACTACTAAACATTCACTAAATCCTACATTCTAACAAAGTAATGATAATGATGCAATAATTAGGCAAGGCATTCTATTCCCATGTGGCTGATCTGTGACTAACAGTGCTTACTAGTGTTGAAACATTTTTTTAAGTAAAAAAAAATCAACTTACAAAATATAGCAAATTTTTAGAATAAAAATTATTAATAGACCATATATACAAAGCTGTAGCCAGCTGCAATCATGTTTCTTTTCCTTTTTTTAATATAAAATCATTGTTAGCAGCATAATTGCACTGGTTCTGATGCAGTGCTAGCAAAAAGGATGAAAAACCTAATAGAAATTTATTTAAATAATTATTTAAATTTATTTAAATAAAAACCCAGAAGCAAAATAATGAAGGCAGTTGGAGGCACAATGGGAGCACATATTGCTCAATTGAAGCCTGTGATAGTGATAGTGAAATATAGCAAGAGTAATATATACAATTCAGGGAAAATCAACATCTTTCTAAATATATATGCCATCACTGGAGTAGTAGGAGAACAAGCATAGTCTTAATAGCTTTAGTATGATCTGTACCCTGTCTGCCAAATGATTACTAAGTATCCAGCGCATAGATGCTGAATGGCTGAAGTCATAGATTTTATATATTTGTCTTACAATACTAAAAGTACTCCATTGAAACTGAGATGTGTTTAATTTTGCTTCTGTTTTCCAAATGCAGCAGAAAAGGTCAATGTTGAAGAATTATCATCTGCTGCATTCAAAATTTGCATAAAATCAAGATAACACTTCCCAAGGGTTTTTTCTTTTCTTTCTAGCAAGCAGTTGAGAAGGATCCTGGAAGGATCCAGGATCTGAAGTAAATCTGAATCTTTATTTCAGAATATCTTACTCAGTTTTGTGCCTCCTCCTCCTGTATCTTTTACATAGATATTCATCCTCTATTTCATCCCACTCACAATGCATATATTAAAGTCCTATTTGTTGAATAACAAGTAATATTGATTATAAATCAATTTTTTTTCTTTCTTTCTTATGGAAAGAAAGTTGTGGAAGTGTTGGCTTCTAGACAACTGAAACACAAATCACATTTCTGGCCTTCCTTCGTCTTCATCTCCAATGTCTTCTCTGGAAGGTCCTCGGATTCGAACAGCCTCATGTTTAGGTTGGAATGTATTTTCTGTCTCCCTAAAATTAGACATAAAATAATTAATTTGGAGGATCAGAGGTTTTTTTTATTAAAAGTAGTTATAATAATTACTGCATTTATTTATTAAACTTATATGTTGCACATCTCACCTAGAAGCTATTCTACCATGTTTCCCCAAAAATAAGACCCTGCCTTATATTTTTTTGAACCCTGAAATAAGTGATTGGCCTTATTGCCATGCACTCAAAAGCCCGATTGGGCTTATTATCAGGGGATGTCTTATTTTGGGGGAAACAGGGTAGGTGATTTGCAATCATAAAATCATACAATCATTATTGAAGAACATTAGAAGGACAGTTCTGTTAGCCTATTGTAGCCAAAAAATAGTGTCTAATAGCATCTTTTCAGATTCAGATTAACAGTTCAAGAGAGTTGGGAAATTCTTGAAAAATTAGGTAATTGAGGCTCCAAACTTAATCAATACCAAAATGGATAAAGAAAGGCAAGGAAGGAGGCACCTAATAACAACACTGACTGGGGTCCTCTGCATGCGCAGGGACATCTAAACGGATGGGCGCCGCCACTACCAGTTTGCCCAATCCGGGGCGAACTGATAGCAACCCACCACTGTCCTTGGTGCTCTCTGAACTTGGTTGTTTTCTTATAAATGTTTCATTACCAAACTAAATCACATCATCAGTGCTGATAATGGCACTGATTATGTTACCTAATTTGGTAATGAAACATTTACAAGAAAACAATCAAGTTCAGAAACCAGCAAGGATCTCACAGTTCAACCCGAGCTACAAATCTTTTCTTCTATCTGTAAAGACGTCTCTGATAAACAAAAAGAGAAACAAACAGAACAAGTAATGAATGGAAAGAAGACCATGTAAGAAAAGCAAAATATGAGGAAATACTCTGCATCTGCAATGATGTGATCAGGAATTTAAGGCTCAGCATAAGATTATGCTTGGTATTAATGCCAAAAATCACAAACAAAAAGTATCTTTCAGCTATCTCCAGAAGAAGAAGAAAGTCAACAGCTGGTGTACAAGTTAGAAGAAGATGGTGAGAAGATGTCAGATAACAACAAAGTTGAATTGCTTAATTCCTACTTTGAAATTGCACAAATTGAAATAGTAGCCCAAATTGTCAGAAGTAGCACTGTGGGGCGTGGACAAGAAATGTAGATCAAAATAAGTATGAAATTGGTAAGATAGGTAGTAGTTTTGAATGAATTCAGGTCTCCTGGGCTAAATGGATTAAATCCCAGGATGTTGAAGGAAATGTTAGATGTAGCCACTAGCTGACGTATTTGATCCTCTAAATCAGTGATGGCTAACCTTTTTGCCATCGCGTGCCAGGAGGGGGGGCGGGGGAGGGTCATGTGCGCACATGCCCATGCACATGCGTGCGCAACCCCCTCCCCCCTTCCCCCGCTCCTAGCACATGATGGCCTGGTAGGCCTGTTTTTCTTTCTTACCTGGTTCCAGATCCTCTCTGTGTATCTGGGAAGGGCGAAAACAGCCTTTCCCACTTCCTTGGAGGCCCTACGGAGGCTGTCCCCACCCCGCCCCCAGGCCCTCCAGAGGCAGGAAACAGCCTGTTTCCCTACTTCTGGTGGGCCCAGAGGGCCCGAAAATCAGCTGGCCGGCACGCGCATGTGCCCCAGAGCTGAGCTGGCGTGCCCACTAATACGGCTCTGCGTGCCACCTGTGGCACGCATGCCATAGGTTCGCCATCACGGCTCTAAATCCTAGAAAAAAAGGATGTATTAGAAAATTGGAAAACAGCCAAATGTTTAAGAATTGGGGGTGAGCCCAGGAAACTACAGACCAATACATTTGACATTAATACCTGGGAAAATCCTAGACAAGATAATTAAGCAATGGGTTTGCAAGCACTTAGAAACAAATAGGGTGATTACTAGAAGTAGCATTCATCTGTTAAAAACAGGTCATACCAGAAAAATCATATTCCTTTCTTTGAGAAAATGGTTAAATTAGTTGACCAAAGGAATGCAGTGGATGTAGTATACTTTAGTTGACTTCAGTAAGGCATTTGATACAGTTAAGCATTATATCCATCTTGATAAATTGGAAAAATGTGAACCACCAAATAGCCATAGACAATATGATCCTTAGTGGGTCTTTGTCTACATTGAACGCTTTAACTGATAGTTTATAATACACTGGGATGAAGTGGGTGGGGAGATATCTAAATAAAGGTTCCATGAGAGTCAAGTTACAACTATATTATGAAATAACACTTGTAATATGTTAAAAACCCATTGTGTTTGTTCAGGCCTTCTGAGATAGCCTGAAACCTGTTGATGCACAAAAACTCAAGTTGGCCTGTTTGTCTTACATAGAATCCAGAGGGGTATTACTGGCAGATGATGGTATATATCAGTGGTCCCCAACCCCCGGTCCGTGGACCGGTGCCGGGCCGTGGAGTACCTGGCACCGGGCCGCGCAGCGGCCGGGGGACATGAACACTGCAGCGCAAAGGCTCCTGGGCCGTGCGCAAAAGCTCCTGGGCCGTGCGCAAAAGCTCCTGGGCCATGCGCAAAAGCTCCTGGGCCGTGCGCAAAGGCTCCAGGGAAGAGAGCCCCGCGCAGGTACGCACGTGTGGCCCAAAGCCCCCACCCCTGCGCGCGCTCAGCGGGCCACGGTAAAATTATCAAAGGCTGATTGGTCCGCGGCGATAAAAAGGTTGGGGACCACTGGTATATATAACATGTAAAGATACCTTTAAGTTTGTGTATGAAGTTGTTGGGACCTGCAACGAACCAAATGTCTACTTTGTATCTGTGCTATTGCTTGTCAATCTTGGCAGCTTTAAAAAAAAAATGAACGTCAACTCCCAAAATTCTGGCAGTTGAATTCTGGCGGTTGAAATCCAGACACCTTAAAGTTCCCAAGTTGGAGAAACACTACCCTACACTAATAAACTAGCATCGTCACAAGCCCTGACATTTTTGAACAAAATAATTTACAGACACAAATTTGGTATCAGGATTCAAAACAAAGACAAGAGTAGTAGCAAAACATTTACCTCCTGAAACATTTCATTACAGATCTCAAAGTAGCAGTTTTAGAACAAAGAAGCTTTACCAGCACTACCGAGGGAGAAACAGTAGAGTTTACATACTATAAATAAACTGACGCAGTACTTCTGCACATCCCCACTTCATCCCATTGTATTTTAATTCTAAATAAGTTACACCACTCCATGCATCTGATGAAGTGAGCTGCAGCTCACAAAAGCTTATACCTTAAAATAAAATGTGTTATTTTGAAAAGATGCTACCAGACTCTTTCCAATAATGGAATGGCCAAACCAACTCTTTAATCTGCTGTAACTAAATCCTGTATTCAGAGGGACTTGGTAAAAAGAAAGCTAGCATTATGTTTGCTGCAAGGCCAAGACTTCTTAAGTAGATCTCTCTAGAGAAGTTGGCTAAGGTTCTTTTCTTGGACAAGCGTTACAAAGTAGATATGCTACTATTAGGAAAACATTAAATTAATCATTTAAGTTTCCTTTGTTCGACCAAATGTGGTGTACAAATAATTTTTCTTGTGTTTATTTTGCTTTGTATTGTTTATCTGTTAAGCAGTCCTTGGTTCTTTCCGCTCTTCTGTCTTTTTCTGTTGTTTATTTAACCAGTGTCCCTTTTGTATAAATTAAATCGGATTACTTAGAAACATGCCAAGAAAATAGATAGAGAGGTGGGGCTGTGGAGAAGCAGTTAAATTTCTTTTGGTCTATTCATGTACTCAGAATGTTTGATGAATCCATTTATGCTACTCATGCATATCCAAATGTGGAAAAGGGAAAAATGTATACTCTGCCTTTTAGGTAATTGTTAAAATCTGAAACCTCTGAAGTGGTTTGGGATTACTCACTAAAATGTATGTGTTACCAAGTGGCTTACCAACCCTAAAAAGTAGAGAGCAGCGAGTAATTCCTATTCCAAACAATGTCTAAATTGATTTTTATCTGATAAATTTCAGTGTGGCAGAATGAAATATTTTCCTATATTCTTGCATATTGTCTTCCAGCAGTTATATTTATATTTTCTAGAACTGTGATGGCAAACCTATGGCACATGTGCCAGAGGTGACACGCAGTGCCTTCTCTGATGGCACGTGAGCCGTCGCCCAAGTTCAGCTCCGCTGCGCATGCATGCACGCCTGCTACCAGCCAGCTGGTCTTTGGGGGCAGAGCACATGCATGGGGGCCACGCCTTCATGCGTGAGGAGGCGGGGCACGTGTGCAGGGTGCACGTGAGGGTTACACATGTGCGGAGGCCACAGGTGCTTTGCATTTTGGGGCTTCGGGCGCATGTGAGTACATTCGGGCACACACGGGCGACTTTGGGTACTTGGTCAGGAAAAGGTTAGCCATCACTGATCTAGAATAAGCTAAAAGAAAGCCTGGAGCTTTAAAACTGCTTTAGAACAAAGAATGGAAATTTATCAATTGCTTATTGCTTAACGCACTGTAAGCCGCCCTGAGTCTCCGGAGAAGGGCGGCATATAAATCAAATTAAATAAAAAAAAAAAAAAATCAATCAGACCAGAGTTCTGAAATATGTTGAGGGCCATATGCCAAAAGTGAAATGACCTTTCAGTCTGATGTGTAAGGATACTGTTTGGGACATAGGATGTACCTGCAAGATCTCAGATACTATTTTAATTGCTTAAATTAAGAGGCATTAAGAACTACATAAAAAGTGTTTTTCAACAATCTATTTCTAACTTCAAGAATGATGTTGACCTCAAAATATTGTAAAGTAATTTCTAAATTACTATTTTTATTTCATTTGCTCTCAGATGTCATCACATTTTTCCTGGCATAATAGATTTACCTCACACAGTTATCTTATCCTGCCCTCCCCCAATAAAGCAGCAATATGTTACATCTGAATAGTATAATTTGAAGAAGAATACTTTAAAGTTGGAAATTGTTTTATTGAATGGGAATTAAAATCCACCAATCATTTGTAAAGAACAAGATGCATAGCTAGGTTTAACAGTGCACCCGATGACAGTACTAAAAGATTGTGCTTGGTTTTGCTATATCAGGCATGAGCAAATCTGGAGGTGTAGAATAATAGTGGCAGAGTTAGGAAAATACTGACTAAATTTTAATTCACAATATGCAAATTTCTCATTTTTACGAACCGTACTGACATTACTAAGCTTTATTTAGCCGAACTGTGAACAGCGCTACAAATAATTTTAGGGGAGGGGGGAGGGATTACCCTACCTTTAAAATAGACAATCTCTCTCTTCCCATCCCATCTCATCCCCACATTTTTTAACAAAGGACACTCACGTTGCCTCATAATCCTTATTCTTTGATTTCTTACAGCAACAACAATAAACCAAAACACTTATGATAATGACAGCAGCAAGGATCCCACCAATGATTCCAGCATAAAGAGCAATGTTCATGGATGCTGCAGAGAGAAAAGATTAGCTGTTAGTTATGACAGAACTGATAAGCTATTTGGCTGTGTTTCAGAAAAGACATTTGTTAGAGATTTGAACATGTTTAAAAATATTATCCTGAATATCAGCAGAGTACTAAAGAATATTGAGTAATTAAGCAGCAGAACATTCCATAAAAAGAATAAAAATTCAAGGTACAGCTCGCTTGGGTATAGAGTATGATTATAGCCTACCTGTCCATGAATAATAACTGACATTACTTATACTTGAAGTAAAGACATTATTAATAAATAATTTCAAATGAAATTTCTGCGGTTTTTATTTCTGAAATATTATTAAGTAATATTAAGAAAAAAATAATATTACTAAAAAATTATCAGGAAAGAAATGAAGATTTTTAAAAAGCCTGTCTTCTATGCAGTGTTCCTCAACCTTTCCGGCTTTACGGACAGGTGAAAGCGGGGGGGGAGGGGCATGAGGGGCACTTCTGCATGAGTGGCAAGTGGAGCTGTGCGCATGCTCACTGGTTGTTTCTGTGGCCCAATTCTGAACGGGGATTGAGACCCCTGTTCTACTGCATTTTAAAAAATGTAAATGTGGACATCACCCCCCCCCCCCCAAATTCTGGGAGTTGAATTCTGGCATTTGAAGTCCAGACATCTTGAAGTTCCCAAGTTTGAGAAACGCTGCCCTACACTAATAAAGGGGGAAAATGCAAGAGACAGACATTATCTTTTTTTTACTTTTAAACACAGAGAGTCATTTAATTAATACCAGACTAGGTGAGAAATATTTAAAATGGGTGAAGTGAAGTTAAGGCTGTACTGTATGGGAAGAAAGTACCGTATTTTTCAGAGTATAAGACGGTCCAGACTATAAGGCGCACCTACCTTTTTTGGTGTGGAAAACAAGAAAAAGAAATCTGCCTCTGCGTCCCAGCAATTTTGCCTCGTTGCAGCAAACAGCAAATAGCCTGCTTTACTTTCATTTTCGTTTTCAGCATAGCTTGATTAGCACAAGGGAAAAAAAATCTTCTCCCAGCAATTTACCTCCTTGCAGCAAGCAGCAGAGCGCAAAACAGCTGAGATCAAAAGAGCTGAGAGTCAGGAGGCCGATCCAATCAACTTGTGCTAATTAGGCTGTGCTGAAGCTGAAATGAGCTGTTTCTTCTTGCTGCTTGCTGCAAGGAGGTAAATTCTTAGAAGGCAGAGGCCAAAGGCCAGTGGGTGGGCAGGGCTACATTCAGTGTATTTATTTTTATTTTTTTTATTTTTTTATTTTATTAGGCTTATATGCCACCCTCTCTCCAACGGACTCAGGGCGGCTCACAACAATAAAACCACAATCCAATGCAAATTAAAATGCCTAATTAAACAAATACAGTTAAAACCCGTAAAAACTCCATCAGTCCAGGCTGGGGAACTCAAATAGCCAAGTTTTTAATTCGCGGCGAAAGGTGCGAAGGTCAGGGGCCAGCCGAAGTCCCAAGGGAAGTTGATTCCAGAGGGTGGGCGCGCTTACAGAGAAGGCTCTACCCCTGGCAGCCGCCAGCCAACATTGTCTCGCCGATGGCACCCTGAGCAGACCCTCCCTATGGGCGTGAACCGGGCGATGGGATGTTGTTGCTGGCTGCAGGTGGTCCGCCAAATATCCTGGGTGTAAGACATGTAGGGCATTATAGGTCATCACCAGCACCTTGAATCTCACCCGGAAGGCAACCAGTAACCAATGCAGGTCGCGCAGGAGGGGTGTTACATGGTAGTATCGGGATTCTCCCATCACAACCTGCGCGGCTGCATTTTGCACCAGCTGAAGCCTCCGAGTGCTCCTCAAGGGCAGCCCCATGTAGAGAGTGTTACAGTAGTCAATACGGAAGGTGACTAGCATATAAGACGCACCTAAATTTTCACCTCTTCTTAGGGGGGGAAAGGTGTGTCTTATACTCCGGAAAATATGGTAGATATGTGGGCATGTTTGGAATGTTCCATATTTTTTCTCATTTAAAAATTTGATTGTTTTCAATATAATTCTAGTATCATAGTGGCCAGAAATTGCTGCCAATACAAACTGATACAAACTGCCCTTGATAAACAAGTTACTTGAACGAATCAAGATCTTTTTGTTTGCGCATTGGCATTTTGGTAGATGGAACATAATAGGCTGCACAAACAAAATGCATCTGGACTTTTCATCTGACAATTCCTTCTTCAGACAGTTACTAAATGTTCTGACACATGTCCTTAATTGTGAAGCTACTGCACAGATATTTAGTTTAGTGAAATGTAGAAGCAAACAATAAGTAGCTCCCTTTCCCCGCCATTATCATAAAACACCATTAATTAAAAAAGAAAAAAAACCCACAATTTGAAAAATGTTTTGAGTTAAAATCGTTTTTAAAAACGGTATTTCAGCACTTATAGATTACTATTCCAGAAGAAGTATAAGTGGGGGGGGTGGGGAAGCAGTTAATATTTTTTAATTAGAGAAAGTCTTTTGTGGCACAGAATTGTGTAATTAGCTCATCTACATAACAAATCATGATAAATCCTGCAAATCTTTTAGGGGCAGAAAACGAGTTCTGCTGTGGACAAAACGTAAATGGAGGATGATCTGATAATGTCATATAGCAAAGCCTGTAAAAAGTGAATGAGCAATATTCAATGCTTAACTGTAGCACAGCACTCTCAAAGGCATCTGCCAGTGAAACATATAATTCTTATTGTGAACTACTCTGCCTGATCTAAAAACTGATGAGCTTATTCTATCACTGTGGTATTCTCTTCTACTTAAATCTACCCCATTCAAGCATCCCCAAACACTTACGAGGTCGAACAGCAACTGTGATATTGCATTTGTTCTGTCCAATAACGTTTTGGGAAAGGCAGATATAGTATCCGTTGGTGTTTACAGAAACATTTTTCAGCATTAGCATTCCTGGTAGAAAACAAGAAAAACAACCTGATCACATAGCAGGTTCAAGCAGAAAAATATTTTTTTCCAACTGTTTCTTACTTTACCATATATAAAATCAGTTTACCATGATGTTCTCATAGCTGATGTATAACCCCATAAAGCATGATATAAGGAATCATAATATTGTAGTTCAGTTGCTATGTTTGTTGGCCTGATTTGCAATCTTTTAAAAAATCTTTTTAGTAGACCGACTATCTCAGAAGTTAAGAAGTCATCTAACATATTCTCGCCCCAGTTTTATTTTCAATGATCCTGGCAAGGTAGGTTAAGCAAAGAGAGAGTACCTATAATCAACCAGTGGCTGGGTTTACACATAGTGTATTGTTCCTTCTCCTTTTCCTCTTACACCTAACTATGCCTTGGCAACATCTTTTTCTGCTGATTCTCAATGACATCTCCATCTTTTCCCCAGGAAAAAAGACAGGTTCAAGTCACCCTTACCTCTATCACTCTTAAAGTAATATTCCCCTCATACAGATACACACCTTATTTGAACACAATCCAAGGACAGCCTAAAGGTATATAAAACCTGTCAAATTTTGTCACCAATTACCTTTGAGAGAAATCAGATGATTGACAGTAAGTGGGAACAGAGTCAAGAGAGGTAGTATAGAAAAAGAAAACAGATTTCATACAGGTATAATTTTCTCTCCAGTTAAAGATTGGTGGGCAGTACTTTAACTCACCACAATAGGAAAGCCTCATGACATGGTTCATTTGCTTTTAACTGAATATAATGTGCATTGTGCAAGCACAGCCATTATGGTTGGTAAACCAAGGTTTATAGGTTTGCATGATATATTACATCCTTCAGAGAATGTAATGTATTAAAGGATGTACCGTGTAAAAGAACATAATAATAATTAGAACTCAGCTATCTATTTACTAACTGTGGGGCAAAACTGTATATGAGTTTTGCTTTAATTTCCAAATATATCAATTGATTTCTTGTCCTTATGATTTATTTCCAGATAAGGAAATTATATTTTCATAAATATAGAAGTAGCATATTTTTAACAACTGCAAATATAAAATGCAGGTGAGAAGTTTTAGTGTAATTTTTACAAATCTTAGCATTCTCTGTGAAATGGATTGTAAACAAACTTGGTATCGTGCATGTGACTGATATGCTGCATCCATTAATAAACCTTTAGTAATAGAACACAGCTAATACACCAGTGAAGCCTTCTGCTTGAGAGTTATATTGGACTATCAATGATCCATGCAGGTTAGGCAAAGATGATCTTATCATCTGGAAAGTATTTGTCGGCTTTCTAAAGAATTTCATTCTTTGTGGGAATCAATATTACGAAATCATAGCACACTGATGAGAGAGGACATTTTTATGGGTGCATGCTTATCTATAATCTATAAGCGTCTGGATGAAAGCCGTGAGGGCAGCATTAGTGCCAGTTTTTGTTCTGACCCAGCCTTAGCAGAACCAAGAAACAGACTCGTTGTCTGTGTGTGCATTCACATACAGTATGAATGCAGTAACAGACCTTATCAGTCCTTGGATAATTGCCAGGCCGAGAGCTTCCAGTTGTAAAGCTGTAAATTAATACCTGGCAATCAGTTTCTGAGGCACGAACCACAATAAGCAAATCTTCTGAAAGAAATGGCATGTGCAAACTAGGGGATTGAGGGGTTTTCTATTGAAATTTTTAGTCAAATTTTTAAGGGGTCCCAGGGAGGGGGAGGGTCAGATTGGAATTCGGGCTGTGGTATGGGGGATAACCCACAAGGGGGAGGGTCGGGTCTGGCAGTGAAGCGCAGCGTGGGGGGTGGGGGACCCGGGGTCGAGGGGGGGTTAGAGCTTGTCCGGATAGTTTTCTGAACATCAGTACTGTAGGTGGGAGGGGTAGATATGGCGGGAGCAGGGGGCCATATCGTGTTAGGGGAGTGCGCACTCGCTGTTTACGAGCGGTGGTGTGCTCCGGCCCTCAAGGCTCTACTTGCTCCTCAGGTTGCATAGACCCTCAGGACCCAGGCCTCTGGCTGATGCTGTGCAATGTCAGGTCCGTAGTAAACAAAGCCCCCCTCATTTGTGATCTTGTTCAGGAGGGGGGTGCGGATCTGGCAGGTGTTACGGAGACCTGGTTGGGTCAGGAGGGGGGGTTCCCCTCGTTGAAATGTGCCCACCAGGTTTCCAAGCATTCCATCAGCCGAGGTCACAGGGGAGGGGCGGGGGGGTAGCGGTTATTATTAAAGAAGGTCTAAGACCGAGGGAGGCCTCTGTTCCTCAGACGGCCGGCTGTGAATCCCTTTTTGTGAAATGGGTTCATGGGGTCATGGGGTTTGCTAATCACGTACCTGGCTCCCTGCCACGTGGCAACAGCCCTGCCCGAGCTACTCAACGTCATCACCGTGGTGGCAGTTGATACCCCTAGGCTTATGGTCATGGGGGATTTCAACCTGCCATCCGTGGGTGAGGCGTCTGAGGTGGCTCGGGAGTTCATGGCTTCCATGACAGCTATGGACCTGACCCAGTTAATTCATGGCCCTACCCACACGGGGGGAAACACGCTGGATCTGGTTTTTGTCTCTGGACAGTGGTTGAGGGATCTTGAGATAGGGGATATAGTTACCGAACCCTTGTCATGGTCAGATCGCTCTCTCCTTCGTCTCGACCTTCGAACCGCTGGACCCCGCCGCAGAGAGGCGGAGCCTGTAAGATGGTTCCGCCCCAGGTGCCTGATGGAACCTGACAGATTCCAGATGGAGCTTGGGCCATTTCCTGAGGCTCTGGCACACGCCTCGACTGGAGACTTAGTGGCCGCCTGGGATAGGGCGGCCACTGGAGCTCTGGATCGGGTCGTGCCTTTGCAGCCTCTGACCCGGCGCCGATCTCAGTTGGCTCCCTGGTTTACCGAGGAGCTGAGGGAGTTGAAGCACCGGAAAAGACGCCTAGAGAGTAGTTGGAAGGCCAGTCTTTCTGAATCTGACCGGACACTAGTAAGATCCCATATTAGGAATTACTTAGTGGCGATAAAAGCAGCGAAATGTAGCTATTTTGCTGCTCTTATTGCATCATCAGATAACCGCCTGGCCGCCCTCTTTAGGGTGACCCACTCCCTGCTCCACCAGGAAGCGCGGGAGGACCTCTTGGAGGGTAGAGCCGAGGATTTTGTTCAGTATCTGTATGACAAAATCACTCAGATTCGGGAAGATTTGGACTCCGACTGGGTAGTCTCAGGGGGAGAGACTGGGGCAGGTCTTGAGAATGTTATCTGGGATGAGTTTGATCCTGTGACCCCTGAGGACGTGGACAGGATTCTGGGCAGACTGAACGCGACCACTTGTTTATTGGACCCGTGTCCTTCCTGGTTAGTGCTAGCTTCCCGGGAAGTGACACGAGGCTGGCTCCAGGGGATTATAAATGCTTTGTTGGGTGAGGGTGACTTTCCCGCCGCCTTGAAAGAGGCGGTGGTGAGGCCTCTCCTCAAGAAGCCTTCCCTGGACCCGGCAATGTTGGTAAACTATCGTCCGGTCTCCAACCTTCGCTTTGTGACGAAGGTTGTTGAGAGTGTGGTTGCGCATCAGTTCCCCCAGCACCTGGATGAAACGTCATATCTGGATCTGTTCCAGTCGGGCTTCAGGCCCGGGTACAGCACGGAAACGGCATTGGTCGCATTGGTAGATGATCTCTGGAGGGCTTGGGACAGGGGTTGCTCCTCTGTCCTGGTCCTGTTAGATCTCTCAGCGGCTTTTGATACCATCGACCATGGTATCATGCTGCACCGGTTGGAAGAGTTAGGGGTGGGAGGCACTGTGTTGCAGTGGTTCTCCTCCTTTCTCTCTGACCGGTCGCAGTCTGTGTTGACGGGGGCAGAGGTCGACCCCGAGGCCCCTCATATGTGGGGTGCCGCAAAGGTCGGTCCTCTCGCCGCTCCTGTTCAACATTTATGTGAAGCCGCTGGGCGAGATCATCCATGGTTTTGGGGTGAAGTACCACCAGTACGCTGATGACACCCAGCTGTACATCTCCACCCCAGACTACCCCAACAATGCCCTTGAAGTGACATCCTGATGCCTGGAGACCGTGCGGATCTGGATGGGGAGAAACAGCTCAGGCTCAACCCATCCAAGACCGAGTGGCTGTGGTTTCCGACATCCCTATATAGTCAGTTGATGCCATCGCTGACTATTGGGGATGAATCGCTTGCCCCCACGGAGAGGGCTCGCAACTTGGACGTCCTCCTGGATTCACGGCTGTCTTTAGAAGAGCACTGACGGCCGTGACCGGGAGGATTTTTCATCAGGTCCGCCTGATCCGCCAGTTGCGTCCCTTTCTGGATTGGGACTCGTTACGCACAGTCACTCATGCCCTCGTCACCTCCCGCCTGGACTATTGTAACGCTCTCTACATGGGGCTCCCCTTGAGGAGCACCCGGAGGCTCCAACTGGAGCAGAGTGCGGCCACGCGGGTGGTAATGGGAGCGACATGGCGTTCCCATGTAACACCCCTCCTGCGCGAGCTGCACTGGCTCCCGGTGGTCTTCCGGATGCACTTCAAGGTTTTGGTTACCACATTTAAAGCGCTCCATGGCTCAGGACCTGGGTACTTGCGGGACCGCCTACTACCACCAATAGCCTCCCACCAGCCGGTACGCTCCCACAGAGAGGGGCTCCTCCAGGTGTCGTCAGCCAAACAATGCCGACTGGCGGCCCCCAGGGGGAGAGCCTTCTCTGTGGGGGCACCTACTATCTGGAACGAGCTCCCCCCGGAGATACGGAGGATCCCGGATCTGCGCACCTTCCGCCGCGCCTTAAAGACCTTTTTATTTCACCAGGCGGGCCTGGCCTAATTTTCTCCCTCTTTTATAAAAGATTTTTAAATTTCTAATATTTTTTAGTATTTTATATATTCAAATTTTAAAATTGGTTTTAAATTGATTGGGGTTTTAATTTGTTTGGGCCAAAACTATTTAATTTGATTTTAATTCTACTTTTAAATTTTG